AGGTAAGAGTATTTGTTCAGACCGTGTTTCATAATAGCCTTGATACTGGTAATTTGCTTCAAGCTCGCAGACCGAATCATGTTATTGTCCCCAGGAGTGTGTGTGATGTGCTTTTGATATTTTTGGTATTCCTTAGGATTCAAATCAAAAGGTGGAGTGTTTTATTTCTTCAACATCACTGGATCCAGGGATGAAGGAGTTTAAAGTTCTTCACTGTGGGGCTTTCTTAGCTGGCATGTGGGTTATCTGATTGGGGCTGAATACTACAATCTTTGGATTACAAATCATCTTTTCTGATTCTTTAGGATAAATTTTGTTTTTTGGCTTCTGTCTCGAGCCAGTGGATGTTTTAAGCACATTTCTTTATCGGTTTTTCTGTATGGATTGGCTTGCTATTCTTTCTTATGATTAGCTAGTCCCTCTTTTTTGTTTGGTTTTTGTTTGGAGGATACCTAATCCTCCTTATTTGTATTTCCTTCTTCCTTTGAGTCTATCTTCTTTTCCTACAAGCAAAAGACTAGGGCTCCTCCAAAAATAAGTAAACAATAAAAGAGGATGGTGAAAGAAATAATCAATATAGAATAAGTTGTCAATTTCTAACAATTTCTAAAATCTTTTACTCTTCGGCTGAGTGCTACCCTGAATCTCTGTTTTGTTCATGCCGTTATCTTTTGTTTGTCAAACAATGGCCAACTATCTATCCTTGATTCTTCTTCAAGTACATTACATAAATGATGACTTGGGAATTGTTACAATTGAAATTCAATTTTTGAGTCCTCCCTTCTGTTCAATTCATCGTTTTAACCTTCTCTTTTGATTCTCTTACCAAGCAAGCATTTTCATTCTTCTGTAAAAATGTTATGTAGCTTGTGGGCATGGAACGGAATTGGGCAGTTTTCTCATTAGGGAGAGAATGCAAGGTGTAGCAGACTCTACAACCCTGAAGTGGTTTTTGTCCAAGAGGCATTACTTGGCAACAAAAAGAATTTTTGTCCCCAGACCCCTAGTTCCATGTAACTTCGAAGTGGTTTTTGAGATTTTGACGAATTATATTTTTACACTTTTAAAATGAGTAATGCGACTTTGCTATATCTAAAAGAGCATGTCGTGACCTATTCTTCTACTGATATCTGGCTTCTTCTCTGTTAATATTTTTTTAGTATCTTTGTGCTGTGTCCCTTGATTTATAACAGCCATTTAAAACTTCTTGGAAAAATAGAAGGAAGCAAGAAGAGAACTTGTACTCTAGATATCATTATGACAACATCTTTACAGTAGTATATCTTTATTTATGTAGTTTTACATGGAAATATCTTGAGCTCTGCTAATGTCCTCTGTCCTGAAGCATACACTTAGAAATATTTTGAGCTCTGCTAATGTCCTTTATCCTGACGCATACACTTTTTTGTTTGTTGTTGTTGTTTTTTCTTTTTTACTTCTGCTTGTGAAGATCAGAGGTCAAATTGGTCTATATCATAGAGGTGGCATTTGAACTACTTGAGTATAATATGTGCAAATTAGTATACTAATTGTCCTCTAGAAGCCTTTGGCAACTTCACAGTAGTAATTTCTATCTTTATTCATGTAGTTTTATATAGAAGTGTTTTGAACTCTGTATCACAAAGATTTCTTATCCTGAAGCATCTTCCTTATATTTGTTATTATTATCATTATTATAATGTTTACATTGTGCTTGTGAAGGTCAGAGGTCAAATCGGTCTATATCGTGGAGGTAGCATTGTGTTTGGGTTGTCTGATTATCCTGTATCTGAATTTGAGCTTGTTGCCGAAGAGCTTTTGATGAGTGATTCCATTATAAAGGTCTGTTCTACTGTTTTCTAATTTGTATAAAAAATATGTTTGTCTTCAAATAAAAATGTATAGACTAAGATAAATTCAGCTTGGAAATGGGATAGATTGTAATAAGCAGGCTGTTTTTGATGGTTTTAATGGCAATAGAATGAAGTAATTGGTTATTTTTCAATTTGCCTGATATTTCTTTTTCTTTTTAAATGTTTGGAAATTTGTTTTGCATGTATGAAAAACATTTTGATACTCAAATTAGTGTGCTTCTCTTATTCAAAAAGAAATGAACTAAAATTACCATTCAGCTTGAGGAATGTCATAGATTGTCCTAAAGAGACTGTTTTTAATGTTTTTAACAGAAATAGAATGAAGTAACTGGTTATTTTGAAATTGCACAATATTTCTTATTTATTTTTTATATGATTGGAAATTTGTTTGCAAATACAAAAGCATTTTAATACTCAAATTAGTTGCTATATGTTTAAATGTCAAAGCCCAGTAATTGTGCTTCTGTTTTAGCCAAGTTATGGGTGTGGAAGATTAAATGATATCTTGAATATTATACTGAATATATTCCAAGCAATACAGAGAAACTTTGGAACTATAGCCACCTGATTGTATGTATTGGTAACCATACTAGCAAAATAGGATAATTGTATAATTTCAAATTTGTAAACTTCTTTTTCTGTCAATATCTAAATATAATATTTCAATTTTGTGCTTCTGTTGATAAATATGTTTTCTGGATTTCCTTATCATCTTTCTTTCAATTGTTGAAAACAACCAATTCTTCTTTTTGCATTGCAGGTTTTTGGTGCATTTAGGGTTGGCACCAAAATGTTACTCATGTGGAACTCAAAGATTCAAATTGATGGTGGTGGAAATACTGTTGTTACTTCGTCTGTCTTTGAAGTTAGGAATCTTGTTGTTCTTAGGGTATGATGATTTTAAATTGATTTTCTATTCCTTATCTGTAAATCAATAAATTCACGTTCCAGAGTAATTGACAAATTAAGCCACACATTATATTTTCCTTTCTTTTTAGGAAAACTCTGTTATTTGTTCAAATGCAAACTTGGGTGTATATGGTCAAGGGCTTCTGAAGTTGAGCGGTTATGGTGATGCAATTAAAGGCCAACGGTTGTCCTTATCTCTGTTTTATAATGTGACGGTAAGTCATTAATACATAAGACTAACATGAGTGGTAGTTTCTCTGCATTCTTTTAAAATCACATATTTAGTGAAATTAACCTGTATACATGAGATTAAACAAAGAATTGGCAACGTAAAAGGCAGTAGGTAAGATAACAGGTGATGTAGTGCTAATAAGATCCCACACCACCGACAACAACTTTACTCCCGTTGGCCAAAGTAATTGCAAGGCTTTCAGAGATGATGGAATTGAGTGAATGTTAGTGACAGAACCACGCTTACTTGATATCTAATTTGTGGCAGCAGAATGTATCACCCGCGATGTAGGAATAGAAGAGAAACATGTAATATAATTACCTAATTGGGAAAGAAAGGTAATAGAAGCAGGAGATTGTTGAGGTCCATGATATATAAAGGTACTTGGAGTGCTCATCCTTAGAGATCATCAAAGTGTAAACTTCATCATTGCAGAAGTCGCACCTTCCGGTTCAATCATATTAGAGATATTTTCAAGAGGAAGATTTGAACCCTTTACCTCTTCAACCATACCCTTAATTTAGCACTTTCATACCACTAGGCAATCATATTAGAGATATAATTTGTTATTTGGAGTGATCTGTCAATCGATTATCGGAAATGATCACATATATGACTCTCTCTTCCACAATGAGTGCACTAGTTTAGAATAGCACATCCACCACAGCCACTTACTAAATAGCCACCATGATACCGCAAATAACCTACACATCCTCCACCTCCACCACCATCCATCTCTTGAATAGCCTTGACATAATTACTATTAGTATCTTGGGAGAGGCTAGAGGGTACTAGAACCACGACTACTATGAGGAACTCTGATCTTTTTATGCAAGACTGTTAGCTTAGAGAGTTTCCTTTGTCTAATGCTTGGTTTACTTGATTAGCAGATAGAGGTAACATTATGTCTGGGTTCTTCATGTTGAATGGTTAGAAGGTAGATTTGCTGACTTACTTCAAGAAGTTCTTCCACATATCATCTTGAACCATTTCCTTATCTTGTTAGATTGAGGATGGGTAACATGGGGTTCCTCCTTTTTTATTTGAGAGTATGTGGCTGAAGTGGAAGGTTGGGATGGTTTTTCAATTTATGAAGAAGTTACAATACTTGAAAGTCAAATGTCTAGAATAGGAAGGTATTTAGATATCTTGGCTCTAAGAAGGGCATCGTTGAGGGATGGGTTTCCTTTACAAATTAGCTTCTGATAATGAGATCTATGAAGAGCAAAAGTGTAGATTAGCCTCTTTGAAGATGGAAGTGGAGGAGAAAATGGTCAAGGAGGAACATAGTTAGAGGCAGAAGTCTAGGTTGAAAGCAGTCGAGTGGGCTTGCAGAAATCAATTTGGGGGAGGTTTACATTGCTAGGATTGCAAGGTCTATTGGGTGTGATGTGCTATCTTGGTTGATTACTTACTGGGAAGTCCTTCTTGGTGGTAGCCCATGTTGAGTCTTTTTTTGATATGGTGGTGAATAGGATTTAAAAGGTTGGAGAGTTGGAAGAGGGGTTTATTCTTCCTTGGAGGTAGGATTACACTTATCAAGGTGTGCTTTATTATTTATTTATATCATCTCTCTATTTAGGATCCGTGAAGGGCAGCTACTGAAATTTATAGAGTGAGGCAAAGACTTTTATCATTTGGCATGTGAGCCTTCGAGGGACAATTTAGTGAAGTGGGTTTGTGTTGTTTTTCTAATGAGAATTGTGGCTTAGACATTCGGATCCCTCATCTAAAAACCCATTTCTTTTTGTGGCCCAAGGTTGATAAAGACTAAGTACAGATAGAACATGAATGGTCAAGACTCTTTGTCTGGAAGCATACACTCATAGGTGCCCTTGGAAGGCCATTTTCTAGTTGTATGACATGTTCTTCACTCTCACCCTTCTTAAAGTAGGTGATGACTCTCAAATTGTATTTTGGGAAGACGTGGATTGATGATATGCCCTTTGCTAATCTTTACCTGAGGCTTTATTGTCTTTCTTTGCACCATCATGGGCTTGTTGGCCATTTTATTAATAAGATCAATTAGTAAATCACCTAGATTCAGTTTTTTTTTTCTTCATGAACTTTATCAATTGAGAATTCAAAGAGATGATTTCCTTGCTTAACATTCTTGATGGAACTTGGTCCTTGGATTCCTTTGATATTTTTTCTTGCAAGTCTCTTTTTTAACACCTTACACATTGATGTATTTTTTCGTTTTTTTCCCCTTCTTTTATCTCTAGGAGGACCTCTTATCCAAAGGTTTTATAATTTTCTTACTTCCTTCTAACAATATTCTTTTTATCTCCCCCCGACCTGCAACCCTTGACAGGCATTCTTTTCACTTCATAGATTTAGATATAAATAGATTAGGAGGATGACGACTTATTCTCTGTATGCATATTTTTTTCTCTCTTTTCCTAACAGTACTTTCTTTAATAGGTATATTGGATGATACCATAAGAACAAAGGTGTGACTTGACTGACCTGATTACATGTCTTTAATGGGCAGGAGTCAATATTTCCTAGTAATCACTATTGATCACTTTGTGGCTAAAGTAGCAATTATGTTTGAAAGAAAGAGAATAAGTGCAATGACATCTAACACAGCTAGATTATAACTAAATTAATAGAGAGGAGATTTGGGGCTGGAAAGGTATCAGCTGCGGGAAGAAGTATGCGGATCTCATCCTCCTTACTATATTTTGAGTGGTGTGGAAAGAGAGAAACAACAGAGTTCTTGAGGGGATAGATGGAGATAATGATAGAGTTAGAAATAGATGATTACAGACTTTGAGGTTTCTGGTTTTGGATCATCCTCTTTGTTTAATACAGCATTTGGGGACCTTGTTGAATCCTTATTTATATGTAAATATACTTTGTTCATGGGTTGACACTTCTTTGGTGCTTGTGAATCAATGATACATATAATACTTTTTTTTTTTTTATTTTAAAAAGTTTATTACTAAACTAACAATTGTATCCAAGCCAATTGAATGGATGATTTTTTTTTTTTTCATTTTTATCTTACCATTATTATTAATGCTTTATTCATATTAGTAATGTTCTTGCTACATGAAAATTTGTAATTTAGATTTTCTATTTATTGGATTCTTATTCATTTTTTTTTTGAAATAAAAAGTGTGAAATATATATATATATATATTTGAAATATCTATATAAACAAGGTACCATGAAAACAGGGGGTATTACCCATTTACAAAAGCTTTACAATATAGTTAGTGTCAATGACATTCCCAAAATTCTCATAAGTAATAATCATGTTCTAACAAAATAGACCCAAAATAATTTATCCATCTATCTCTCATTCTATACAATTCTACTTCTTTACCCTCAAAGGTTTTAGAATTTTTCTCTTTCCAAATAACTCAAAAAATGGTCAATGGAATAAATTTAGTCAATCTACTATTTAAGTGCACACCTTCCCAAGCCCATAATTCCTCCCTTACTGACCCCGACAATTGATACCTAATAGACTATATATTAGACTCCAAAGACTGAAACCCACAGGACACCATAGCAATACATGGTTACAATATTCTTCAGATTTCATTTACATATAGTACTGGTTGGGAATAATCAGCCCTCTAGATTATAATTTATCAATAGTCAACATGCACTCCCTACAAGCTTCCTAGGCTAAAAACGCTACTCTTGGAGGCACTTTTGCTTTGCATATCTGCCTCATTGGGAAATTAGGAATCCAAACATGGTCCTGCCTCGCTAAATGGATATAATAGGATTTGATAGAATAGCCTCCATTCTTTTCCAGTTTCCACGTCACCCTATCCTCCCCAGAATTCACCTGCTGTGATGCCAGAAGCTGCAACAGACTTTCAAATTCTCTGACTTCCTAATCATGAAGATTTCTTGTGATATTAATCAACCAATCAACACAACCGTTATTGATTCTGTATGCATCCTGGACCAACATATTTTTTGAATGTGCTATTGCAAACATTCTTAGGAATCTCCTCATCAAGCAATCATTTTCAATCCAAACATCCCTCCAAAATCTAATTTTGTTACCCCTGCCAAATTTCCATTGCAGATTATTCTGAAATTGAGGCCACTGCATCAAGATTTTCCTCCATAAACTCATGCCATGTGGACGCCGTATCCTCTCTTCGCCTCTGTTATCCCAATTCAGATCATCCCGTCTAAACAAAACAATCTTCCTCCATAGTTTGTTTTCCTCCATCAGAAATCTCCAAAGCCATTTACCTTGTAATGCCATATTTAAATCTACAATAGATTTGATTCCCAGCCCATCTTGCTTGAGAGGCCTTTTGATATCTTCCAATTGGATTCTTATTCATAATACTTATTTTACAACATTTGGATATATAAGAGAAGATTAGAGAGAATTTTAGTAGAATGCTAAATACAAATCAATCTCGTAAAAAGAAAAAAATTTTCTAGTTATGGAAGTCGATTATGATTATGCTTTATAGAGATTTTCTTAAAAATATCAATTTGTATCGGAATTGAACTTATACAAAAAGTCAGATTTCTACACTCCCTCTCAAATTGGTTTGAAGATGTCGAACAAACCAAGCTTTGAACTCAATTTTTCAAAAGTCTTCCTCGATAATTTCTTGATGAAAATATTTACAGTTTGATAGTAAGATTGAATGTGCAACAAGGATGATGCTCATGACGTATTTTTTCTTTAACAAAATGTTTATCAATCTCTACATATTTACTTCGATCATGATGGACTGGGTTCTTTACTATTCTTATTGTGGATTTGTTATCTCATCATACTTTCATAGGGTTTGAAGAAGAAATTCTCAATTCAGATGATACCCTTTGTAGCCACATTCCTTTAGAGATACCATGTGCTAAATCTCTAAACTTAGGCTCGTCACTATTTCTTGATAGCACTCTATTTTTTACTTCTCCAAATAATTAGGTTTGAGACATATCTATGGTATCTAGATGTGGATCTTCTATCAGTTATAAAACCAATCCAGTCTA